ATATATATATTTACAAATTTACATTAGAAAATGTCTATGACAATGAAACACCTTAACAACAAATAATAATATGGGGTATAATTTAAAAAAGTTAATCATTTTCATTAAGCTTTCAATTATCTGACATGTCTACAAAAATATACACAAAATTTTCTATTATACGGGCTCAAAAAGGATTGTAATTCTCATATTTTTAATGTAAAAATGAGATTCAATTAATATTTAGAGAAAAAATGCATTAATTCTAAAATCCAAACATAACTTCTATCAATATCAATAGGAAAGATAATGTGTATAATGAAACAGTAGGAATAGCAAAAACTGAAAATTATATCCATTAAAAGAACCAAGCAATCAAATGCCTCTATAATGATAATCTTTCAGCAAAGTAGTTTTACAATTTATTGAAATTTTTTCATTTGTGCCACTATTAATCTTTGCTTTTTTCTCTTTTAGTTCTTCTTTGTTCATTATGCATAATTGAAATGAAAGTAGAGCTGTTAAAATATTAAAAACATAATTTATTTTGCCTATTAAGTTAAATAAAATGAAACAGCTACATTTAATTTAATAATTAAACTATTTGTTTTATTGTTTTAGAAACTTGTAAATATGTTTGATTATAATCTATATCTATATATATATATAAATGGACGTGTATGTCCCTATATTTCACTTTTCCACCAAAACTACACATCGCACGTGAATGATGTTTGTATGTGGTGATAGCCCCAAGTCTCCATTCGTGCATAGGGGTGGTTGCGTCTCGATAGCTATAAGGGTGTAGGAGATATGAGGCTGAAAGTGGTTGAAAGTGGCTTTCTATTTCGAATGTTTTGTTCGAATTTGTTCGAATTAAATTCGAACATAAAATTCGAATATTGGTTCGATTATAGAACGATTGTAAACGTTCCAGAAACGTTGAAAATAGTTCGTTTGACTAAACGTAAAAATTCTCTAATTAGTCTGGAAACAGGGGACCTAATTCTTGCATTCTGTGAAAACGGGTAAGATTAGCTATAATGTAATTATCTTAATTTTCACTATTGTTACTTTTTGCCCAGCAAAGCGGGTCCTTGCAGCTAGTCTAATAATAAAAGACACATTTAAAAATTTTAAATATTTGATTGAGGTTCAAATCTCTAATTTATTTCCTTGAAGAAATAAAAAAATTCTAAAAATACAAACACTTTTCAATAGATTTTGAATTTTATTGTCATAAACTTTCTTGTAATATTTGTAAATGAAAGAGTCTGGAACAGATAATTAAAAGTTTTTAGAATATTTAAAGTTTTAAAAGTCCATTGCATAAATTCATGAAATTATTATTATTAATTTTTAATCTATACTAATATTATAAAGAGGTTATGTATGTATGTATGTATGTATGTATGTATGTATGTATGTATGTATGTATGTATGTATGTATGTAAGTTTGTTTGCAGCAGGTAATCTCCAAAACTACTCATCCGATTTCAAAAATTCTTTCACCAATATTTAGAGTGGAACCTCAGGGTGGACATAGGCTGTATATTATTCCGTTAAACATTCATATAAATTAAAATATATAATCTAGGTTAAGGCTTTTATGTCCAACAGATGGTGCTAAGAGTACGACACCCTAAGTTTGCTTTTCTGTGAGGCATTATGCTTTTGTGTGAAAATGAACTAAAGCGGATCATCTTCTATCTATCTATATAAGTAAAAATGTAATGTTCGTTTGTTCCTACCGATTCCTTTGAAATTTTGACACAATGCTGCATTCGAATACGCACGTGTTTTTATATAATATACGTGTCGAAATTCCCCCACTGAAGGGAGATGATTAGGATTAAGGCTTACCGTAAAGAACTCTGCTTCTATTTATACTATTTTAGATGCGGTTTTTTGCGTTTTTGATTGCATTTTAATAGGGTACGTCAACAGAATGTATACTAAGAAGGGATTTTTTGATATTCCCCCGCGGGGAGAGAGACAGAATTAAGGCTTACTGTGAAGAACTTGGCTTCTATTATATTATTTTAGATGCGGGTTTTTGCGTTTTTGATTGCGTTTTAATAGGGTACGTCAAGAAAATGTACACTAAGAAAAAATTTTTTGAAAAAATTTCTCTTCACAGGTGAAGTGTTATACATTTATAATAGATACATTTTGAGCCACAACAACGCATGGTGGGGTCTGCTAGTACTAAATAAATTAAACAAAAATGTGTGTTATTTTATAATACAAAAAAATAAACATGATAAATGAATAAATGAAAGAAATAATTGAATAAATTAAAGACTTACTTTTAAAGTAAGTTTCATTATCTGCTGCTCTGGAATACACAACAGTACACAACACTTAACCACTTGTCCTATGTGGAATACTTTTTCAGGATATTCAATAATTTCGGTGCTTAATTCTCTTGATGTTATCCAACCCTGCATAATAATTAATTTGTATTAATTAAGATAATTGTGTCTTTAATTGAATATTGTGAAATGTATTAATTATTATATATGTAAAAGAAAAATAATGCTAATCTATAAAAACCATTGTTAATTGATTTATAAAATCTGTAAAAATTATTCAATTTTTACTCAACAGGGTCTAACTCTAATAACAATTGTCAAATAACTTCTTTTTATATTATGTCATTATAACTAGATTTCTCTATCAATTTTGCTTGTTTCAAATTACAAGTGTTATTCAGAAAGTGATGCCCATTTTATAATTAAAATATATAATAAAGATTTATGAACCAATTTTTATAACCAATAAAGATTTATGAAAAAAATTTGAAGGCAGATAAATGGTGGTTTAAAAGATTCCTAATTCAGGTCTCTTCACATTACAAATATTTAGGAGTCACTTTTTTGGCTAACAGTTCATTTCAGATGCATTATTCTAATAAGAAGATTCATGGTAGACTATTGACAAATAAAACTGTTCAATTAGAGAAGTCCACTAGATTGAGAAACTTGAATGATTACTTACACATCTCAAAAACTGTTTTTGTCCTCTATGTTATATGCTTCAGAAATCTGGAATTTTCATTTAATAAATGTTGATGGAATACAGATCCAATTTATTATAAACCTATTTTGTTTACCTCATTACACACTGAACTATTTAATTTTGATGGAATGTTCTTTGACTCCTATAAAATTTTTAATTTTTAGAAGGTTAGGGAATTGGTTTATTAGGACTTATAACTTAATGACACTTGTTTAAGTAAGGTATGTTTGAAATTTTTACTTCACAAGGATTGTATAGATTGGAATTGTTCTTTCATTAGTACTTGTAAAGAACATGGCATTAACTTTATAAGTGGAAATATAGAACTGACAGATTGATCTAGCCTCCTTACTAGCATTTTTGATACCTTTTTATGTGGTATTATTAGTAAAATAAATAAAAGTATATATAATAGTTGATATAAAAAACTTCATGTTATTTTCTTTTATAATTCATTATACAATGAAGATGTGTCTCTTGACATAGATAATGAAGATGTGACCTCCAGTCTCCTCTCCTAGATATTTAATATTATGATATAACCATCATCAGTTACTACTCCTCTAGGGCCAAATTTATTTGTAATTTAATATTATCGTTCCCAAATTATAGCATGATGATTTACAGCAGTTGATGGTGTGTTATGTTGATTGTACAGTACTTGATAGAAAAGTTTTATATTTGTAAGAGCTTGTTCTTCTCTCCCCTCATCATGGAATGTATTGTGAGATCCAGCCTGGGGTACAGGGTAGTTTGTTACTCCTATATCACTTAGTAGCCAATCTATTCCGTTAGAATAGTTCTCGGTTGTCCACAAGAATGGCCTTTCCTGAACTTAGGGAAACGAGTGTGGAGGGTCTTACAGTTTAATATTTAAAGCAGAACGAAGAATTGTGAGATCCTTCAGTTCCAAAGTCAGGATTCCTGTGACACCAGTTTATCTACTTATCAGTCGCGGATAAACACGCGAGAAGGGATCTGATTCAGAAAACAATCAAGAGACATTTCTTAAACAGTAAAATAGTAAAATTTAATAATCAAAAATAACAATAATCTAAAGAAAGGGAAATAGTCAAACATTCAAACCCAAACAATCAAGACAACGAATAAATTACTCAAACGCGTCGAGAGAGAAATGTATTCCTTAACCTATACATTGACGAGAGAGAGAGCTCACAATTCATTAATGTACATACAACCTGTTTAAATGACTTTGTTGTCTTCTTATTTGGCAAAGGTACTTCATTAATAACATTCTTGAATTTCGGTTCAAGAGGGGTCTGGATAGGCACAAATATTAATTATATCTTCTAAGTTTCTAACTTAAGATTAACTTGATATGGTACGACTTTTGGCGTTGGTCTTCAGGAGCTTATGTGTGGAGTCCTTTCCACTCTCCGGTCTACGGACGAACTCTTAAGGGTGTTGGCCTTAGAGAGCAAAATGAGTGGAGTCCTGTCACTTTCAGATCTACTGACAAACTCCTCGAATTCGGCTGAATTTCGACTGTATCTTTCCATTTGCGACCAATCATCCTACTGTTTTTCACCCACGTGAACGAATGAAAAGGGAAAGAAATGTGGGGTCGTCAGTTCCCATCGTAGTAAGATTTTTAACAGATAAGGGAAAAACAGAGGATGCTCATACTTCCGTCAAAGGAAGTGACTCTGTTATCTGCTTTCCCACGCTAGAAAACGTTATTTTCCCATCAAAATGAAAGAATATTTTTCTGTAAAGATTTTACTTCAATTTTAAATTATTACTTTAGACCCGGGGGCTATTCGGATTCACAGTATTCAGTATGCTTAAATAAATAAAATAAACTGATGTTGACTAATTCTACTTAAAACTTCCTCACTCCAGGTTTCATTTACACATCATGTAAAATATGGTTAGTGAGTGAGTGCATGCATGCTTGCATGTAATTAGATTTTGCATTGTATGGCTAGATGCTCTTTCTGATGCCAATCCCCCACTTTTCTTCTGGACTCAGACTATGGAGCTCAACAATAGTATCCAGCAATTCCATGTCATTTTCCAACTATAATACTGACTACACTTCATGCTGCTTAACTTAGGTGTTCTGATGGAAACATGTAATGATCAAGTGCAGGTTCTGAATAGTTAAGTAACTTATTTGTTCTTTTACTTTTTGGTCAAATGCAGGTAACTAAATTACAAATTTACCAGTAAATATTTCAAAAGTGATTCAAATATAATGAAATATTCTATATGATTAATGCTAAATAATAATAATAATAATAATAATCTGAAAACTTCAAATCATACCTTTACACCATTATAGAAAAGAACGAGCAATCCTGTCTTTTTCACAAGTACAATGGTACCTTCTACCATCATTCCTGGATAAGCATCTTCATATTTGGCAAGAATTGGTAACTTTGAATTTACTAAAGTTTTTTTGCATGTTAATAATAAAGATGGAGGATCTTTTGAATCATCGATTTCAAGTATCTAGAAAACATATATCACAAAATGTTTACATAAATAAATTTTTATATTTTTATATTACTCACAGTTAAGAAAACTAAAAATTTATCTTATTGAATCTGTATGCTGAAACTAATGTATAACATAGAGAATTCACACTTTTCTAACACTTTCCAGCAGTAGCCATTTAATAAACAAAATTTTTTGGCCATATTCAGGGCCAAAAAATCAGGTTAATCTTACATGAAGTAAAATGTCTATAGTTTGACGTTTGGAACAATGCTGACTTTGTGAGAAAGGTATGAATTTTCTATGTAAAAATTTATCTATTAATTTATTTAAAATTTATTAAAAAATCTAAATAAAATCTTAAATGTTTCACTAAGTTTCAAATGATTAGAATAAAAAAAGTACAATAAGATACTAAAATTTTTTAGTAACACAGTTTTAAATTAAAAAAATGCAAGTTATATTAAAACAAACATTTTCAATCTGCTTAATGGACCATCTTCAGGTTACAATCTCAAATATATTATAAACATTCAAATAGAGCATTTAGACTACTTGTTTGCCTGTTTCCAAAATTGATAATTTTTAAAAATTTACAGGTTTTTACAAATAAAATGTATAATGTCTTTTTTATTATAATATAATTCATAATATTTGAGTTAATGATATTTAACTTTTTGCAAGTATTTTTCTAATTGTTAGAAATGCAACAACTTAAAAAAATGGAAGAAAAATAATTTATGTAAAATAATTCAAAGTTACATACAGCTAGACTTTGTCAAATAAATTATTTTAAAATAACAAAAGCAGAAAAAATTAAACTTTAATTGACAAAAAACAGTTATACACTCAAATAAAATTATCACATCATTGTAAAAACTTGGCATACATTTATGTCAGTTATCTACTTATATAAGCCATTGATCACACTGTTTTATATCTGTCATCTGTAATCTGTCATGGAATGCCTAGAACACACTAAGGGGTTATCCCTAGCGATGATTTTCAGCTATTATTTAAATTAATAGTATAATTTATTTATTAACAGTATATATTATTATTTTTATTCGTAATAGAAATTTATTATTTATATGAATTTTATTATTTATACCATGGAATGACACCGCTGCTGCTATAACACCCACTAGGGGGCATCCCAGGCTACTAGTGTCTATATAAACGATTGCAATTGTAGGTTGAACTGTATATCAGGTGTCATAAAAATATCTTAAAACTTCTATTCCAGAATCCTATAAAAAGGTTCTCAGAGGTTCACTATATCTATTGTTTGGAGTCCTAAGAATGCCAGGAATGTCTGTATAACACAATCAAAAACATTATGCACAGCTGTCAAAGGTTGCATGTACTGTACAAATTAAGTGAAGCAAAATCACCTGCCATCTTGCCATCTGGGTTCTGAGCTGCACAGAAGTTTGGGAGCAGCAGAAATGCACAAGATAAGAACAAGTAACAGTAACATTATCTTTGTCCAACATCCAAAGGCAGAATAAAAACATCACTCAACATACTACTCAATATTAATTTTGAATGTGTTCTAATTTGTATATTCTATAATAGTTTGTTCTAAACTGTTAAATATAAGATTGTAAGCTGAGGATAACCAAATCTTGATTGAAAATGTTTATTTTAAATTCTGGCTCTGTTTGGAAATGAATGACCACCATATTAGAGTGTACAGGACTGGAGAATACTTCTGTTTGGAAATGAATGACCACCATATTAGAGTGTACAGGACTGGAGAATACTTCAATCCTTGCAGTATGATATTCAACATTATCATACTGCACCACTGCTGATTTGCTGGTCTACAAAGCCATCTCATGACAGTCACTCTTAGTAGTAGTCAAGGGTTAATGACAGAACAATAGTATGTTCACAAAATCTTGTACCTTCAAATTGCCTTTCACGACACAGCTGAAAATGACCAATTTTCTAAAAAATAATGCTTGACCACATAGCTAAAGATTTCCCAGAAATGTCTCCATCAAGTTTTCACGCTTCCTTGATCTCCAGACTATCACCCATCAAACATTTATAGGACCATTTAGGACAACAGCTTCAAGAAATCTACAAGCATGAGGAATATGGAGTGGCAATTGCAACATCTGTGGGCAAATCTGTCACAAAACAGCATATAATGACTATATGTCATACGTGATTGTATATACTGCCAAATGTAGCTATAAAAAAGAGGTCATACAAGGTACTAAAGGTTCCTTAAAATTATACCACTGTTACACAGGAAATTCTCTGTTTGCTATGATATTGCAATCACTTATTATTGTTACCACTATTATCAAACTAATAAAGTTTCATTTGATTCAAATGTCTTCTTTCTGGTGCATGACCATTCTTTTTTGTCAATGAACAAATATTAGAAACAACAAAATGAATACCTAGTAAAAAGTTTTTTAACAAACTTATAACACACAATTTGGAACATAAACTCTTTTCATGTCATCCATCACATTAATGTATGAACTAATTTAAAACCTTCTATATTGCATACATAAAATAATTGGTATTTCTAAGATTATCAGCACAAAACCTTTCTCACTAATTTCTAGCCTTATTAACAGGAGTACAAACGTTTTCGGCCTTCTTAATAGGCCTTCCTGTACTCCTGTTAATAAGGCTAGAAATTAGTGAGAAAGGTTTTGTGCTGATAATCTTAGAAATAGTTCTAGCTACATATGCATAGTAATTGGTATTTCAATACTTGATTGCTTACTGTTCTCTCAATTAGTTGTATTTACTTCGGAATCAGCATAAAGTTGCTGTTGAGAACAAATCACACAAACGCTCTTTTAGATGGAAAAAGTAGGTTTATTTTCAATAATTTAAAAAGCTATGCATTTCGGGCTTAATGCCCCTCTTCAGTCCTATTTTATTAAATAAATTGGCAAAAAAATGTATTTAAGAATTGCAGAATGCATTAAATTATATTTAACATACACCTACAAACAAACATTCTCAAAAACTATATAATTACCTAAAAAAATAATTTTAGTGACAGCTCAAATAACTAATTATTAAAACCTTTGGCTAAAATAAGTAAAACTGAAAAAAATTAATATTAAGAAATAAGTAAATAAATAAATGTAGTAAAATATTATTAAAATAATAAGACAGTAAACCTGTAGAAGTAAAATTATTTTTAACAAAAATAATTTTACTTCTACAGGTTTACTGTCTTATTATTTTAATAATATTTTACTACATTTATTTATTTACTTATTTCTTAATATTAATTTTTAATTTTTTCAGTTTTACTTATTTTACTCAAATTTCAATAATTAGTTATTCCAACTGTCACTATATTATTTTTTACGTAATTATATAGTTTGAGAAAATGTTTGTAGATGTATATTAAATATAATTTAAAGCATTCTGTAATTCTTACATACATTTTTTGTCAATATATTTAATAAAATAGGACTGAAGAGGAGGCATTAAGCATGAAATGCATATCCTTTTAAATTATAGAAAATAAACCTACTTTTTCCATCTAAAAGAGCATTTGTGTGATTGTTTTCAACTGCAACCTTGTGCTAATTCCAATGGCATTTCAATAATTTATGGTTAATATAGCATTTAAGTTATTCTGAATGCATTATTATTATAAACTAATTTCTAATTTCCTCCAAAAACACTATTAGAGGGCACTATCTAAAGACTTTTCATATTGCAGTTGCACTGTTTATTAAAGGATGCTTACCATTAGATAGTGCTGTTCAGTAGAATAAATATGGTATATAAGCAATATAAATTAATGTTTTAATTAGTATTATTAATTTATTTGCAAAGTCAAAACTTAAAGTATTTCATTAAACTATAAAATTATTATTAAATCAGTCTAAATACAGGTAATTACTAATGCACATATTTAGTGAGATATATTTTATATATGAAAAGTCATGTAAAGTTGACATCCACATTAAAAACATGACATTCAATACTTTAGAATTAATTTAATTTTGACACAAGAGCTAAAGATAGTCTAGTAATGAAAATTTGTATATCATAAATTATGTAAATTAAGTAAACACTCAAAACACAGATGGAAAAATTAAGAATTATAAAACTTACTTACAAATCTTTTTGAAACATTTATAAGAAATTAAATTAGAAATAATCCTTTATAGATTTCTTTACTAATTTGGTTTATTTGTTTATAGCAATATGACATGTGCAATCTGCCAAAAGAGTATGTCTCCCTGTCAGTGTTTTAAGGGAAACTGGATACTATTTGTGTGTTACTAATGTGAAGAAAATCCATAAAACTCCCCATGGCCAGCCTGTTGTTGAGGCATGAACTCACAACCAAGTTCAGTGGTTTTATCCACTTGGCCATAGGTAGGCACCTTCTTTAACTAACTACTAAATAGAAAATATATATTTCATTACCTATTTAGTATATATGCAGGGTGTGTCACAAATAACTGCCACAAGAGAGCGATATTGAGAAGTTCAGACTATATGTGAGCAGGAACTATGTTTTGTTGCATGAACAGAATGTATTGATTAACTTGTTAATGCCAGAATTTAGATCTTACAATTGAAAAAGTGAAACCAAAATAAAGAGTAATTAAAGGATACTACAAGTGATATGATGTGAAAAATATAGTAGATACAGATTATAAGTTTAAAGTTCATTACAACTTATGTGTGAATTGGTAGCCATTCTCAAAAAGGTCTGGATACATGTATGGAGCATATGTTTTACTATAGCCTTGCTATGAATGGCCATCAGTTCAAACATAAACTGTAATGAAATTTAAACCTGTAATCTGTAATCTACCATATTAAATTCTTGTCATTTGTATTACCTTTTAATTACTCTTTAACTATGTTTCAGTTTATCAATTGTCAACACTAAATTCTAGCATTAATGAATTAACCAATACATTTCCTATATTCATGCAACAAAACCAACTCCTGCTCAAGTGTGGCATGAACTTCCCAGTATTTCTCTCCTATGGACAGTTATTCATGGTGGATTCTGAATATACAGCATATTATTAGTATATGTGTATGCATGTGTGTGTGTGTGTATATATATATATATATATACACGCATACACATACACTAATAATATACTGTATGTACAGTACATGTACACACACAAACAATATTTTATAAATTTAATAAATTAATGTCAATTAAGATTATTAAAACTTACCCGACATTTCACTTCTGAACTAGGATGAAAAACTTTTTCTGGATTATTTAAACAAATTTCAGACATATCCATTTTACGAATAAATCCTTTTACATTATGTGCTAATTTTACAATCATTCCATTATCTACATGTTTTTGAACAGTTGCCTTAAATAAAAACAAAAGAGAAGAAAATTTAAGAAAAATACATTAATTAAATATTATTAATTTCCATTAATAACTTCCAAAAAATAAGCATAACTCAAATTTTATTTCACAAATTTAAAGAAATAATCAAAAATAAAAAGTATATTAAACAATTTCATTTTAAATTTTATATCCAAACTCTTTTATATATTAAACTCTGTTAATTTGAAATTTATTTGCTATAAAAAATATTTCAAATTAAATGTTTACAAAAAATTAATATGAAAAACTGTTAAAATTTATCACATTCATATCAACTAGCAGAAAACATATTAAACAAAAACTTTTGTAATGACAAGTTATCAATACAAATACATGTTCCTAATTACAAATATAAACATCAACCAGAACCCGATGCATAGTAAATAGACACCCACAATTGGAAAATAATTATCAATTATTATTCATAATCATTATTTCCAAAATATAGCCCAATTACTTACAGCAATTGTGGGTATCTATTTGTTCCTAATTATTTAAAATCTTCTTCTTCCAGTATATATATATATTTTTTAATATATTTCTTTATTATTATTAATCAAATGAAAAAAATTGTTCTGTTTAAGCTATAAAATAAATTATCCAATAATTTTTATTTCTATAACAACTTTTTATTTCATATTTTGTACAATTGTAATATATAACAGAAATAATACACAAACTTATTGTAAAAACTTTACAGTTAAATCTTATTAAGAAATGCTTTCAGAATAGTAATAATTAAAACTTACTTTATAAATAGCTCCTACTTTTAATTCTTCAAAAGGAATATAACTTTTCTCAACAACACTCCTAAAATTTTAATCATAATGAAATGTCACATAAAGTTTGTGAAACATCACAAAAAAAAATATATTTATTAAAAATTTTATGAAACATGATATTACATTACTAATAACAAGAGAAATATTTTATTTATTGGTTAAATTTTAAACAAGGCCTATGCAAAATAGAACCTATAAAAATAAGAAATACATACTATTTAGAGACACTAAAAAATAAATCTTCATAAATTTCAGCAAAACAATTTAATTAAATTGACAAACATCAAATTCTATAGGTTTACCATACCACGTATGTGATCTGAAACTGGCCTATTAAGAAGGCAAAAAACATTCATCAATTTATTTAAATTATTTTGCTAGAATTTATGAAAGTTGTCTACTTATCTTCTAGTGTTATATCGTCCAATTTATTAAAAGTTTTTAAGTAATTCTGTATACATTTTCAAGAGACAAATCACTTTGACTAATAAGTATTTGTAAAATATAATTTAAAATAGTAAAATATCAAAAGCTTTTGAATTAAAATTATAAATTTGTAATTTTAAATTTTATTATGGAATAACAAGAATTTTAGAACTATCTTTAATTTTCTACTAAATTTTTTTCATATTTACTGTTCACATTTGATGATAATGCTAAATAACTATTAATTGACTAATTAGTTCTAAACATTAAAATTTAGCTAATACCAACACAAATAATTAATGCATCTCTAGTCTTAAATCAATTTATAGATTAATAAAATAAAACCCTTATTTGATATCATTAACATTTTTACCTTTTTGTAGATATTTTAAGCAGTTTGTCAATGTGATTCTTACCAAGAATACGACACCTGAAATAAAACAATTTTGTAATTTATTGAAATATTTCTTATTTAAATTATTCATTTAAATATTCCTTATTATATTCATATAAGTTTAGAAAATAAAATAAAATATCTTTTATGTGCAATTATCTGTTTTCATTAGCCAGCAAATTAAAGAGTTTTCTTCTTTTAATCCATTTATTTAAAATTATATATATATAATAATGTATTTATGAATGCATTATAAATTTACAATATAACTTAGTCATTTATAAATGAATAAGATCAGAAATAAATTCTTATTAAAACATTAATTAATAATCATAAAAATCACTTTTAACATCCTCACATGCAGTATTACATAACCATAGGTAAAACTAAAGTTTCAATGACAATGTATTTTGATTTAAACAATTATAAAACTAAAATAAAAGAATCTCATATGATATGGTCAACTCTTTACATAAATGGTGGAGAAACCCAAACACTTAAAAATGTAAAGAAGAGAAAAACATTAAAATCATAAATGTAGATTGTCCAAAATGTTGCTCTTGCCTGTCCTTTTTTGAAAAAACAAGATGCCATTTTGGATAATCTACATTTGTGATTTTAATGAACTTTAATGTCATGGATTATTATTTTTTAAAGAGAAAGGTAGTTTATTCAGAATAAACTTTTTGAACTCATTCATTCCATCTTCAGATACTCAAAAAAATTAACTTACATAACAAAAACAATCTTTACGGTAACTTAATTCATTTATACCTAAATTTGTCATATGGTCAACTTAATAAGACGATTCAGACTTCTTATAGTATCTTTTATTTTAAATTAAAATGCATTTTCAACTTTTAGTCCCTCTTTAGTTGATTTTTTAAATTTTTTTGTCTCTAAAGATAGACTAAAAGTTTGAAATGCATTTCAATTTTAACTAAAAGATACTATATAAGTCTGAACTGTGTACTGTCAACCATTATGACAACTCTAGATAAAAATGGATGAAGTAACCCATAAAGATGTCAACAAATTTTACTAGATACGAATCAAACGACAACAAAAAATAAAAATAAATAATAATTAAATTCAAAATTTAAATGCTCGTGCATGCTCAGTGGTACATATAAACAGTAGTTTGAACATTTTTGTACATCAGATATGAACTGATAACAAAAGCTACTATATCTCTCTTAAATTAATTTATTTTAAATATCTACTCTTGTTTCAACAAAAATGCCTATGGCTTCTTTATATCTCAGGCATTTGTATATTTATTTTATCTGTTTAATAATTGATTTCAAGAAGTTTAATAGACTTTTATAACATTACAAAATTTAATGCATAGAAGTATCACAGAATGTTTTAATTCTTAATGTCCTTTACACACTTTGGGAACAAACAGAATCAAACCTTCATTCCTTTATAATTATTTTTAATTGAAGTTTAATTATAAATTAATTTTTATGATTATGCTGAAAACCTGATAACTGTTTTTTTCATATTGAGGTGGGGAATGCAGCATATAAAGGAAAGTTAACTCTGCTGTAAGGACTGTTTGTTCCCAAAGAGTGTAAAAAATGTTAAGAATTTAAAAACAACACTTTTGTGATACTTCTACACATTAAATTTTGTAATGTATTAATTTCATCCTGGCATTTTTTAATTATTTTTAATTCACGTTTAATTGTAGACTTTTAAAAGATTAATTTTAAAATACTTCATAAAATAAGTATTATAGGAAAAATATTTAGATTAACAGATTTACATGATTATCCATGTCATTAATAAAAATAAAATATAAATTTTCTCATTTTGGCTAACAGGTTTCTTACTATTGACTCATTGTCATCTTACTATTGTCATATGAAAGAATCAAAACTTTTAAAATACAGTATAAATTCTTACATGATCTTATCCATTGATTTGCTAGTTATGAATATTCAATATATTATCATTTAATGATTTACTATTTATTTTATATGTACACACACACACACACACACACACACACACACACACACACACACACACAAAGCATTCAAAGCTAAAGTGGTGGGTCAAGTTCAAGATTTTTTTGTATTAAAATATCAGCAGTCTAGAAATTAAGATAAATATTGTAAAATGAATTTATTTTTATTTAATAAAGTATAAATTCCCTTTTGTCCTGAAAAATACTGCTTTCAGAATGTCTTATAAATTTACTACATTAATGATAATATATAACTTTGAAACAACCAAAGCCAAATTAACGGGCTAGAAGCGGCTATAATAATAATAATAATTTGAGATAATTTGTTTGATAATTTGAATATTGTTTGATAATTTCAAAAATCTGAAATTTGTGATTATTATTATTATTATAGCCACATCTAACCTGTTAGCCTGTGATGTGGTTGCTTTAATGTTTATTGGGTTAGCTGATGTTTGATTATATTTATAACTTTGAAAAATCACAATTATGAAAAATGAAAACAGTTTTAGCTAGAATTCATTTAAACAATAATTAAACATAAACAGCTTTCGTATGTTATAATCTGTTTGCACATTAAAATTCTGTATTTTATTATACTAGTAATATAAGTTTAATAATTATTACATAATTATTAACAAAAATGTTTCAGTTAATAATTATCAAACATTAATTATCATGAAAACATCAAAATTTAAAATGTAAAACAATGAATAATGTAATACGTTTCAAATATCAAAATTATAACTTACTTATGAGTCATACCAACAAGAAATTTGTCACCAATATTTTCTATATCATCATCAGACAGATTTTTTTTCTAATGCAAAAGTAATTTGTTTTAATACAACTTGTTTATACAAATGAAAGTTAATAAAACTAACTTTAATCATAATACAATATGTTTATTGTATTATGATTAAAGTTAGTTTTATTAACTTTATAATAATAATTAATAATTATTTATTAATAATAATTAATAATTATAATAATTAATAAAAAGCATAGTACAAATTTGCAATATATACTTACTGTGCAAAGAGCTTTGATTTTATCATCTATTGAAAAATAAACTCCAATTAACTTATCAATTTCTGTCACTTTAGCTTCAGTTATACTTCCAATCTTATAATCACCAAACATTTTTTTAACTTTTTGAGGAGTTATATTAAAATGTAGACTAAAATATATATGTTTAGAAATTGGATGTAAGTATAACACAGTCCCATCAACCTATCAGTTTATAAAAAGTTTAAATCATTAAATATACCAAATAAAAATATTTTTGATAATTGTACTCATATAAATATATGTATTTGATAATTTTCTATCAAATAAATAATATAATCATCATCTTAAAAAGATTTAGATAATATATGTCATACCTGCTGTCCAATTTCATAAGAAGAAGGTTTACACCAAATACTCTTCAAATGATCTTTATAGACACAACCTTTATAATCTAAGCAGTTGACAATCAAACCATTATCTTGAATCTAATTAATTTATAAAAAGTCTTGATTAAAACATTTTATTATCTACTTGTGCCATTTACTATATTTAAATTGTTAATATTTATATTTAACTAAATGAATTAAAAATATGTTATTGATTTAAATTACTAAACAAAAAATTTGATTATGCATTTATATTTTGTAAGAAAAGAACAAATCAAAAATAACAAAAATATTAAAAAAAAATAAAATAATGGTAAATTAAAATTCTAATAATAATAATAAAAGCTTATTACATCTGTTACTATTGCTGATAAACACATTCCAGGACGAAGTGAATGCAATGTCAAATTAACATTCTCAGGTACCTTCAAAGAATAAGAATTTTAAAAAAGTAATAAATTATTAATTTTAATATAAACTAATTTTTAAATAAATTTTAAAAGAAAATAAATATCATCTTCACAATTATTATTAATCATTTTTCATATAAAGATATTTTTATATTTAAAATTCCCAAATTTAATTCTTATAAATATTCAAATAAAACAAAAATATAAACTAATTTAATAATTGGAAAATCTGAAATATGTTCATTTTACTTTTATCAATTACTCATATGTAATTCAGAAAAAAAATAAAAAACAACCAGATGACAATGATTTTAAAAATTTTAATATTTTAGACATACCTTTGAATGATCAACAAGAGAAGTTTTAAGTGATAAAATAATTGTTCTGTCTTCAATACATTCTCCTTTTGAAAGTTTAGGTATATCAATGCAACAAGTTATCAACTGGCCAATAACTAATTGATTATCTTGATTTTTTGTAAAATTGGAATATTTTAAAAATGATGTTACACCTTCTATTCCAACATCAATAACATAACCATGATCTTCTATGCTAGCAACAGCTGCTTGTAATATCTATAAAAAATTACATTATAAAAACAATTAAAATTATTTTATAATTAATATTTATACATACCAATAATAAACCATTGCAATTATATAATTTATATTTACCATTCCATTATATAGACATGAATGAGTTAAACTCCCATTAACATCTTTTGGATCAAGGGAGAGCTTTATCTCTGCTTTCATCTTCTCAGCATCATATTTAGTTGAAATGACTTTACATAAAACAACTTGTCCAACAACAAACATTCCAGATAAAGTAATAACAGCCTGTAAAGAGTAATAATGTTCAAAAAATTTATTTTGATCTAATTTAAATTCAACATGACTAGGTAATTATCTGAGAAATGAATGAAACTGGGTACCACACGCTGCCCAAACAGACAAAAATTTGTAAGGAATGTTTTCAATTTTAAACTGCCTTAACAAGCAATTTTAAGTTTTATTTTTATTTTATAACTCAATTATAAAAATATTTCATAAATAAATTCATAAAAAATGATTGCTTAAATAATCAGGCTACAACTTTGCTAATTTAATGATTATTACTAAGTAATTTACTACTAGAAATACTCATTAAATTAGCAGAGTTACAGTCCATTTATCAACACTTTGCCAAGTGTCGATAAATGGATGGTGGATGTCAGCAAGTGGATGATAAAACTATTTGCCAAGTGTCGATAAATTCACCAAGTCGTGACATTGAACCAGAAGAAACAATATTAGATCAGTTAGAAAAACTCAGCAGGCATGATTTATTTATCTTGCTATTGAATAATGGATTTTCATACGAAAATAAAAATATCATATTATCAAATCTAATATTTAATTAACAATTCCATACAGAAAATTACTACAGCAGGCTAACAATTCTGAACTCATAAAGTTATTATCACAATTATCATAGTTATTTTATATAAACAAAAAGTACAAAATAATTTTATTTTAATAATTATTTTGTACTTTTTATTACAGTAGGATATCATTAAATAATAATGTATAAAAATTATTACAAATGTTTTCATAAAAGATATGGTTATTCTGAGGATGATATGTCATGTTAATTGTAGGCATCTCATTGGCTTATTTTTGCTGAAAATTTTGTACTACAATACTATATTATCACATGTACCATAAAATTTACAATTGAAAATAAACCACATAAAATGCATTGAAGTGCTTGACTGCACAGGAATTGCTTAATGTCTTATCTTCAGATATTATTGCTTCATATCTAGTAGATTCCATTATTGTTTTTTGGTAATGATATAGAAAATTTATACAGATATGTTGATGATTGTTTTGTTTTGTATGAGAGTAGAAAAATAACTACACAGTAGATACTTGATAAAGTTAATAAATTTGAAAAAGAAGTTAAAGTTGAGTTAGAAGAATAATCATAGTTATCATATTTGGATATAAAATTGATTAGACTGATTAGAAGTGAGAAACAAATTAATATTAGGAAATTTGTTGAACAATGTCAAGTAGATAAAGTTATACATCAAAGCTCAGAAATACCAACTTATACTAATATGTGACATCAAGAAACTCGAGATGATGTTTATTGATGTAGTTAGCCTGGGTAAGCAGTTTCAGCACTGATATGTCACAAATGAAAGATTATAAGTGATTTATTGTTGAGAAAAGAAAAAATATATGATGAAAAGTACAAATAAAAAAGAGAGGTATAATAATGCTAATAAAACACACCTTTAATAATCCAGCTAATAAAAATTAATAATATAAAAACGTTTTCAATCGTTTCTTAACGATCTTCTTCAGTTACCATAACAGAATAAAATCAAACACAAAAACGAACATAAATACAAAATTAAAATATAATAATGGAAAAGTAGATAAAATAAACAAAAAATATTAAACCTACGACAAATTTACATACAATGAAATATCTGGAGAAATTAGAGATCTTTAAGGCACACAAGAAAATGGGTTGCATCAACCATAGAGATGTGGACTCTTTACCTACCGCATGGCAATCCTTTTACAAAAATTAATGACTTTATTTTTATTTGTTAAAGGACATTTTTTTGGATTAATTTATATTTTTCGTTTATTTTATCTACTTTTCCGTTATTATATTTTAATTTCGTATTTACGTTCTTTTTTGTGTTCGATTTTATTCTGTTATGGTAACTGAAGAAGATCGTTAAGAAACGATCGAAAACGTTTTTATATTATTAATTTTTATTAGCTGGATTATTAAAGGTTGTTTTATTAGCAATATATTTATCCAGTTCGTTCATTATATGAGAGGTATAATAAATAAATTATATTAAAATAAACGAGAAAATAAGAAATAAAAGAATAATAAATTAAAATCAGTTGGCATTTAAGCAGGAAAAGTCTTGGATAAATTGGAGTTGCCTGTTAAAAGCAGCTGTGTTTGAGATTTTGTCCAATCTCCACCAAGAGAACTGCATCTGAAACATAATGTCGGTGAGTTGCTTAACATGACTGAAAACACGTATTTGAAATAGTTACATAAAAGTTGAAAATTTCCGATGGGACAAGAGGAAGGAGTTGAGCTGGTTTAATCCAGAGGAAGGTCAGTAGCTCGTATTCATGTCCGCCTCAGACATGATCCCAGTGTTATACCACTATGTCGACCCCTGCGGAAAAACCAAATCGCCTGAGCAAAAGACAAAATTGTTTTGTCTCTGCCAACCATTAGGCCTACATGACATTAGTGCTGTGGTCTCCACATGCACTAATGTCATGTAGAGGGTATGCAAAGTGATACTTGGGGGTACACCAAGTTTCCCTAATATAATATAATATAATAAATATATTATATTATACTATAGGGTGTATAACTTATAATTATTTTCGTCTTAGGGGTAAGCAATCAAAAAAGTTTGGAGATCACTGAATTAGTATACATAGAGTTGACATATTTTCAGAAGATCCCTAAAATATATCAAAAATTGCTAAATTTCTTTTCTGCTAATGTCCCATTTAAGCAAAAAATTGTCCCAATTAAGCGTTTAAATTATGTATTCCCATTATTAGAGCTAGGTAATGTGGCGCCATCTAGTGGGAATGAAGGATGTTCCTTTTTTCTTAGAATTCGTATAACTTTTCTGTAGTTCAACTGAAATTCACCAAATTCTGGAAAAATATCAAGCAATTGTGTGCCAAAAAACAGCACCCAAAAATGTCAAAATGTTTTTTTCTTATTATCCTTTCAACAGTGGAAAAGTCAGGTATGGCACTACCATTTAGTAGTGGAAAATAAATGTGCAAAATTTTTAAAGTATTTTTCCATGCATTTTTTTCTCATTACTGTTTCAGAAAAAGATTTTGTAAACAGTTATGTCTAGTAAAGAAAAGTCTATTTTTATTGTTACATAACTCATTTTTTATGTAAATTTTCTTTTGGGGCAATAACCCCAAAAGAATTAGACGAATATATTCGTCCCTTACCACTGCCACACTATCGCCCTTGACAAATATATTTGTTGCTCACTGCTGAGTGGTTAAGCATCAAAGTGGAGAAAGTTGACACTTTTGTTTTTTGAATATATCTTTTCTCAGAGAAGATTATATTTTACAAAAAGTATTTCCCACAAAGGATAAGGTTATAAAGAGCATTTTGACACCAAAATCACAAAAATCTAATGTGGGAATTATTTTTAAAAACTCGGATAAGTGAAAATGATACCCCAGTACCCTGTGCTTTGCCCAGGTAATTAAGAAAAACACATTTAATATGTATATGAATAAAGTAAGAGACAGAACAACAGAAATAGAAGATCAACAAATAGAAGTAGAACATCTAATTAAAATGTACTTGTTAAATGGTTATAACAAAAAAACAATTATGAAATGGTTAATTAATAGATTCAAATAGTCATACAGACACAGATCTACATGAATTTATTAAGAATGATATATTTATGTATGGAAATATGTTTCACCATAGTCACATTAATCACATTTTTAAATTAAATTATTTAATGGATTTGTTAAACATTTTGAAAAGTTATTATATTATTAAAATTTTTCAATATACAAAAAAAGAAATGACTTCATTATACTTACATCTTCCACATTCTTTGGATCTTCAGTATAACTTTTTAATAGATTACTGTAATGATTATTAATATTTACAATTGACACAGTTCCAATTGATCCTCCTGGTAATATCACTTTTAATTCATATTCCTTGATAGTTTCAATACAACCAAGAATTACCATTTCTGTAGACAATGTCTAAAATATAAAAAGTAAGTTTAAATTAAATATTACATCTTATAAAAATTTAAATATCAGTTCAAATCAACTAATGAAATAAAAATAACATCGTGTGAAGCTATACAAATATAAGCTAATCAGCAGTAGTAATATAAAATTATTTTTAAAATTTATAGAAGTTTAGATTAAAATTTAGATTTGTAGTTCAATTTTTTGTATTAAAAACAACAAACTTAAACTACATATCATTTTTGAGGAATTTACACTTTCAACTATTTTAGAAATTAATACAATATTTAATAAGAAATGCATTTGTCTAGGATGTTAATTTTTATTTCACAAATTATGATAAACAGTAGATTGTCCCTTGTCCAGCATGACAGAACTATAAGTTAATGGTCCAGCCTTTTGTCTCAGTCAATCAGTTGGAGTCTAATATGTTACTGTAGCATGAGGAAAAGAATGAAATGTATTTATCTCACACCCTTTCCCTATTTAATACATAGTCTGCTATGTTAACCCAACCAGGACATGGCAAACAATGACAGTATAGATGCTTCCCCATTTGAGTTTTTTGGTATGATTCTGTATCAGAACAATAACCGAAAATTCTATAGCTCTGAAAAATTTTCCTTGCTGTCATTTCTGAGTAATAGAGATCTTAATATTCTTCTGGTTTCTTGAATGAGATAAAGCAAATTCTAGATGAGGTCAACAGTCTGAATTATAATAATAAAATTAATAACATTAATAAATAATACAGTAGAACCTCCATTATCCGGATTTTCGATTATCCGGATTGTTCAAAATAAACAAAAATTTTACGAATTTGCTGATTTGCACTTGGCGAATTACGACACTGTTTATGCACGTGATGGAATGCATACCTTTTTTTGTTTCAACAACGTCTCACCCAGCAGAGTGGTCGTAAACTCTTAAATATATTTTACGTAGTAATAAAAATATAACTTGACATACGTATTTATAAATAATTTATATTCAAATTACATCATTTCTATGACCAAGGGCGGCGTAAGGCATGGACGACGTGGGCCACCGCCTATGCCTCGCGGTCCGAAGGGCCTCGCGCCTCGAAGGTTTATGCATTACTTAAAAGCCGCGAACGCGACGAAAAAATTTTACTCGTCATAAAACGATAAATAGTTTGTCAAATTTTTATTCATAAAAATGCAGTTTCAACTGCTTTTTATTTTATAAAATCCGTCTTCTTGCGCCACCAGAGGGCCTTTTAAACAATAGGTAGTCTGTTAGCGTTGGTCAGTAGTAGTCCAAATTCATTACGAACGTTTGTTTCTCGAAAATTTGATCACGATTTAAATACAGTATTTACTTTTAATATTACCGATATGTCATCAAAAAGAAAACGTGTTGTATTATCATTAAAAGACAAATTAAAATATTGGTTTCGATTATCCGGATTTTTCTTGAATGAGATAAAGCAAATTCTAGATGAGGTCAACAGTCTGAATTATAATAATAAAATTAATAACATTAATAAATAAGTACACTGATACACATTTTTAGATAGAATATATTTAAAAGGTATTAAAAATTTTAAAAGAATAGAACAAAACAATGGCGTAGCGTGGGTGTCAGCCGTCTGTGGCGGAGGAAAATTTTGTTGCCCCCTTATTTAGGTATCTCAATTTAAAAGACTAAAATTCAGTTTTGTCACAGAAATTTTCGATTGAAATGAGCACAGAAAAATTCCATGCTCATTTCAATCAGTCCGAATCATAGGTGTGACAAAAATATGAAATGAAATGGTTCAAATTTTTACAAGATATTATTATTATTCACTGTGAAATTTTGCCGTCCCCTAAAAGTGCCACCCGGGGCGGGCCGCCCCCATTACACTACACCACTGGAACAACAGATTGATTTTACTAGATTTTTTTTTTTTTTTTGACATTTTACTTTTTAATATCATTAAAGTAAAATTATAAAATGGAATGTTTTGTTGAATAATTATTAATATTAATAACCAAAGTTTTCTTGTTTGAGGCTTCACTTGTTACTTATTGCTATTGCTTAAAACTTTAAAAACCAAGAAATATTTATTTTGTTTTACCCCTTTATCTGCTTATATAGTTGTTATTAATATTACTAGTAACATTTTAATACAGTAGAACCTCGATTATCCAGACTAATTGGGGATGAAGGTAGTCCGGATACAATACACTGATACACATTTTTTGATCATTTTAATCCATCTTCAAGCCTAATATATCTACATATTTGAATATACGAGGGTTATTTTTTCAACCTCCACCGACCCAAAATAAAAAAACAAGAATGAAGAACAAAACCACTTTATTTGTAGAAGGTAGTTATAGTCTCAACCTATTTTTCCACTTGTCAATTCAGTCAGACATCATACCATGACACCAGTTTTTGTATATCCATGTCAAAGAACATTGCCACCAGCCATTCAGCCAACATTTAACACTGTCAGTCAGTGGTATATAGCATGGACCTTGAAATTTGAGGAAACTTCTCATTGAGCACAGAAATCATGAACCTATGCCTTCCTCATACCAACTGATCCACTTTGTCCACCAAACTCTCAGTCATCACACACTTCCTCCCTTGACTACACTCATCATGAAGGTTGTCACATCCTTGTTTGAATTTCCTGCACCATTCACACACATACTCATAGCTCATGAAGTTCTCACCATACACATTATACATCCTTCCATGAATTTCACATCCATTCAGTCCTTCGACCTGTAGAAATCAAATTACTGCTCGTACTTCACAGTTGACTAGAGTGGATTGGCGGTGCCATGTTTACATGTTTACTGCAGAGTAGCAAATGTCTAAAATAGCTTGGCACAACACTAAGTGGTGAGGGAATATACTACTCACAGGGTGTGCACCCTGTCCCTGTCTCACATGCTTCCAATTTTTTTCATGCGTTAGTGGAGGTTGAAAAAATAACTCTTGAATAAAGCACATCTCTAAGCAATTATTATTAAGTGTTTATTTGTTAAATTATTAAAATATTTACCATTAAAATTGTATTAAGTTTCATTACAAACATCATACAAATTCTTAAACTAACTATTTGAGAAATTTTCTTATCATGTCCAGATAGTGGATGACAAGAAAACTTCAAAGTATTTAGTTAAAAAACATACATAAATTCAATAACAGTTAAACAAGCTTTTCATGATAAATTAATTTAAAGAGATTGTGTTTTGAATTTAGTGCTTATTAGAAAATAATTTTCTTTTTACATATTTATATGTCCTGACTGATTTTCATTTACATTTAAGAGTGTTAAATAATTATGCACATTTAATGTAATATAAAAATGCTTTATATTTAGCTGTAAATAAAATGTAATAGCTAAAGAATTAATCTATCATTTAGCTAGTCATTATTTTAGTTTGCCTTGCTCAGAATGAAAAATTCTTTAAAAATATAGGGATGTTAAATTTAGCTAAAATTCAATTTGAAATTGATTAACATTTTCAAATATAATTTTTAATATTTTATACTTTTATAAATTTTATTAATACTGAGCATATAATTAAAATTTTTATGATTAGCATTAGATTTTAATAATAATGACATTCTTTATAAGTATTTTATAGAACTTTATAAGTACTTTTATAGTGACATACTTTATAACTTAATGGCTCGACTACTACTAAATCGTCTGTAGATTCTTCTACTTGTTTCTTCTTTCTCTTATTACGTTTTTGTTTTGTTTTAGAAACTTTCTTATCTTGTTTTACCTAAAATATCAATATTATATCATATTTCAACAAAATTATACACACACTTTTTCTATAATACTATAAAATGAAAACATTTCACATACCTTAAATAAATCATCATCTTTTACTTTGTTCACTTTCTTATGTGATTTAATTCCACCCCTAGGGAAGGCTGTTTCCATATTTTCTAATAATTTATTATGTATTTTTAAGAACATTGCACAAACTCTCAAAAAAATAATATATTTAAATAATTTAACCATTTCTTAACCTGATTATAATGTCATCAGATGTAACAATAACCCTAATATTATGTCAAATTTTTATTTGTCCCACAATTTTACTGAACTAGACAATGTTAAAAAAACCCACTTGTAATGACATAAAACTCTGTTTTAACATCATATTTAAAGCACTCCCAAATTTACAAAATTAGATTACAAATTTTATTTAACAAAGAAAAGTGTGTTCAGTCCCTAGGGTCAAAGTCCACTTCCTAGAACAACTATGGGTGGTACTTTCACAAACTGACTTCCCCACGGAAGTCAGTTGGTGAAAGTACTTTCCTGACTTTCCGTTTGCCACACCTTTAAACGATGTGATGGTCAGTTAGTCTGCATGGTTACTCATGTTGTAGTTTAGCAAAATCAAATCAGGTGAATTGGCTAGATTAAAAAGGAAAGCTTTAACATTAGACTGCAAAGTAGAAATAATTAAAGCAGTTGAAAGTGGAAGAAAAAAAGCAGATGTATGCAGAGAGTTTTGTTTAACAAATTCTACAGTGTGCACTATAATAAAAAAACAGAGACAATTTTGAAAAGTTTTCAAGATGGCAAGGGACAAGTGAAAAAAATTAAGTTATATGAAAAAGCCAATATTGATACCACTTTAATTAAGCGGTTTAACCAATGTAGAAGTTTCAACTTACCACTAAATGGACCAATACTAATGGAAAAAGCAGAAGAATATTTGGACTACTAGGCAATACTAACTTTAAATGTTCTAATGGATGGCTAGACCGTTTTAAACAAAGACATGGCATAAGTTTTGGAAAAGCGTGTGGAGAAGCAAAATGTGTAAACCTACTAGACATTGAAAACTGGTTAAGAGCTGTGTGCTGTAAATTAAGGGGGAATATACAGATGAAGACATTTATAATGCAGATGAAACCAGAATATTTTACAAACTTTTACCAGATAGAACATTTAAATTAAAAAATGAAAAGTGTGTTGGTGGAAAACTTGTGAAAGATAGGATAACAGCTTTTGTTTGCACTAATATGACAGGTACAGACAAAAGAAAACTTCTTGTAATAGGAAAATCAAATAATCTAAGGTGTTTTAAAAACATAAAAACACCACCAGTAAATTACAAAGCCAACAAAGTCATGGATGATGTCTGAGACTTTTCAAGAAGAAATTCAAAAGTGGGATAGAGAACTTATTGGTAAACAAAAAAGTTTTATTCCTTGTCAATAATTGCCCAGCACATCCAATTTTAGAAAATTTAAAGAGCATTAAACTTGTATTCCTTCCTCTGAATTGTACTAGCGTACAGCAGTCAATGGATCAAGGAATTATAAAAAGCCTTAAATCTCATTTCAGAAAAATTCTTTTACAAAAATTATTACAAATATGGAAGATAACAATAAAATGGCAATTTCTTTATTAGATGCAGTTGATTTTTTGGAAAAATCTTGGTGTTAGGTTAGTTTGCTAATAATAGCAAACTGTTTTCACCAGACAAAATTGTATAATAATCAAACAGCTATTAAATTCATGAATGATGACAATAATTACTACGATGACATTCCTCTATCACAGTGGTTCCCAATTAGTTTTTCCTGCGTACCACTTCAAGAAAGAGCTCAAACTCTCGTACCCCTTATAGCAGAAATTCATATTAATCTATACTAATATTATAAATTTGAAGGTAATGTCTGTCTGTCACCTTTTCATGTCTAAACCACTGAACAGGTTTTAATCAAATTTGGCACAGAGATAGCTTACATGTTGAAGATGGACATAGGCTACATTTTACTGGGAGAAAATATCTTACTCCCACGAGAAAATTCAATATAATGTGGGCAAAGCTGTGGGTAGACAGCTAGTGATAAATAGAATGTTTTTTTTTTTTTACATTTATTACCTTTAAAATACAATTCTAATAATAATGAAAATAAACATAAGATTATTTAATTTTAATGTGACAAATGTGCACGATTTTCTTTGCACAACTTTGTAAAATCTGGTTGCTTTTTGGTCAGCTTCAGTCTCAAAGCCATCTTCGAGTTGAAGTCAGTGATGATGTTTAGTTTTCATGTTTGTCATGGCCGAAAATCTGCTCTCGCAGAGGTATGTTGTGCAAAATGGTAGTAAATATTTTATTGCCACTTCACTGACATGATAAATGTCTTTTAGGTCAGCCCAAAAATTACCCAGTGATTGCTCTGCAAAACAACTCTTGAGTCTGCTGTTGCATGAAATGTCTTAATTCCTCTTGGTCAGAGATGGGAAGGTGGTTGGTGGAGTTATTCGCAACAGCGACAAAAATTTTCAAAATTAATTTCGCAAAAACAAATTGTGTTAATTGTACAATTTTTGTTTCTTGCATAAGAATTTCTTTTAGGTATTATCACGAATGCATTTTTTTTTAAATGAAATTTCAAGAATATTTTTAGTTTTAAATAAACTAATTTGTGCATTCAACATCATGTTGTAAATTGCTGAATTTTTGATGGTCCACCCATTATTTTTTTGATTGCTTCATCTCATGCATTTAAATTTTAAATCAACCGATTTTAGATTGCCGCATGTACCCCTTCATGCAATTTCGCATACCCCCAGGGGTATGCGTACCACTAATTGGGAACCATTGCTCTATCAGAATTAATTAAAACACTTCAAACTTCAGAAATTGCAAATTTTTGTCATCTGCTGCTACTGAATATGAGAGTGTAGATGAAGATTTAATAACAATTTAATAAAGTAAAAATTGCATTACAAATAGTAGTCATATCTTGCTTGCTCGCCATGCCCAATCACCTGGAACAACCATTCTTCACTGCAGAGATGACCTTTCTTTATAGGCTACAGCTCTGCACAAATATGTAAAATAGTCTAAAATGTCCACAGGTGACAATCCCAACACAATTAAAAATATAACATTTTTTTGTAAAAAAGGGCTGGCAGAAATTACAATTTAATGAAGTAAAAATTGCATTATAAATACTAGTCGTATCTTGCTTGCTCACCATGTTCAATCTCTGCAGTGAAGAATGGTTATTCCAGGTGATTAGACATGGCAAACCAGCAAGATACAACTAGTATTTGTAATGCAATTTTTACTTTATTAAATTGTAATTTCCGCCAGCCCTTTTTTACAAAAAAAAAAAAAATTTAATAACATCCAAATTTTATACAGATGCCGATATTGTTAAGCAAATTAAATCTTCAGATGAAAAAACTGATGATGATAATGAAACATCACACAGAAAATGAAGTGCCATAAATAAGGGAAGTGTGTAATGCAATAAGATTATTAAAAATGTTTTACAGGTCTTAGAAAACTTCATCAGAAATAATAAACAAAATGTATGATTTAGATAATGACATTGATAAACAATTTTTAGGTAAAAAATGCCTACAATCTTAAATAACTGGCTTTTTTAAGTGAATATTGTTGTTGTGTCTTTAATTGGCATACATTAGTTTAATCTTTTGTTGTCTTTCGATTCGACATTATTCTCAAAACCAGAAGTGTCACCATTATCAAAACTTAAGACAAATAGAAATTTCTTATAAAAGATCATTTTTAAAATTTTTAATTACGTTGATGTAAACTTAGACATAATAATGCAAATAAAGCTGATTTAAACATTTAGTTTGCACTTTTATACATACGATAATAAATTATTATTACCATAACTGATACAATATACTGTATTACCATTAAGAAATAATTTTATGGTAACACACAATGTTAAATTAGAATAGATTTTATAACAGACTCTTAAACACACTTGGTACTTTTTATGGGACTGAAATTATGACCCCTCAGATAACTCGGTTATACCATCAAAAAATTGCCAGTCCCATGGATGACATTATAATTGGGTTAAACTGTACTTTGTATCTAATTATTATCTTAGCCTTATTATAACCTAATAATTTAGCAGATCATCTAACTTTAATCAAATCCAGATTTGATTAAAGCCAGACGAACAACATTTCTAAAACTTAGATATTTCAAAACTATTACAGAATGTGTAAACTTTGTTAGACTTCTAAACTCAGAGAAATCTTAAATTTAAAAGAGCAATTTGATAAATAAAACATTATAGTCTTATTGACAATGCAATTCAATTAAGTTTTAGTTATCTAGGTCAAGAGAAGATATAACTACCACAATCCACATAACTGATTTTCAATCAGTAATACTAATATGATACACATCTTTAACTTTTGTAAGATACTACACCTGATCGCATTACTGGATGTATACACAACACTACTTTTGTTAATTAATAATTACTAATAATAATATAAATAAATTACAGGTAAATGGCATATCTGGTGAGAACCTCACAGATTGCCAGATAGGTTTTATAAATAGTAGTGTTGTAACGAATAGTATATTCGGCCTCAGGCCGAATACCGAATATTCGGCCAGGAGCGTGGCCGAATAGCCGAATATTCGGCCAAACTATTCGGCTTGATTAACCCACGTAAGAAAATTGGCGCGCAAACCGCATTATGGCAAGGATCCTGCTGTCTATTGGCCCGCTGTCACTACGCTTCGCCAATCGTGTTAATTCTTGGCAGTTGTAGCCAACAGACAAGAGTGTCATGAAAGTATCTGATAAATGATGATATCAAATGACCTACACTTGTAAATAACAGAGAAGGACCGCGAAGTGAAAATATGAAAATAAATATGAAATTGAGTTGATAACATAATTGAACAAGTCGAGGCAGCTTATTGGCACGAAATTCGCGCCCGTCAATGCCAAACAATTGTTGTCTTAGACTTCGGAAAGCTAAATGCTTGTAATGAAAGTCACTTAGCGTGCACGGGCGAAAGCCTGGGGCCGCTCGGGCTATCAAGCTGTCTCGAATCTGTGAAATCATAACTGTGACTTATATCAATGTCCTATCTGTCTCTTTTCTCCGTTATCATCAGGCTGAGTCACGTAATTGTAAAATGGGAACTCTACGACGGAAAAGTGACGAATCGAAAGTATCGTGAGCGCGTATTATGATGTATGCACAGGCATACATGGATTAGAGCAAAGACGAGCGCTTAAAAAGAAGGATAGGCAGGGTCAGACCCTCAGATGTGCGACGATTCTCGAACGAATACATGTGTAGTGTGCTGATCTTTGTAATTATAAATTGTGAATACATGTGACTAATATTATTTTATTTGTTATTTTGTGCATGTTTCAAGTTATAAATAAATATAAACAAATAACACTAACTCGATAACATTAAATCTAAGTACCAAAATGATTAATTTACTGTGTTTTTGTTATTTATTACTCCTGTTTTAGGTATTCGGCCAAATAGTGATTAAATATTCGGTATTCGGCCGAATAGTGAAAAATAGGCCGAATACCGAATAGTAACCGAATATTCGTTACATCACTAATAAATAGTAAAGCAGAATTCTCAAAATGTAGCCCAAAAAGTAGTAAGTCACCCCTAGTAGCATACAGCCTTACAAATATCTCAATCTGCTACTTGTAGCACAACCTTGAAACTCTGAAACCCAGCCATATTTTATGATATAAAAGAAAAAGGGTAGTTTGGTAAGATGATGACAAAAAAGCGTGTTACTGTAAAAGCAGTGTTGTTAACCAGATTAGAGTTGTTCATAACCTATTATTATTCTCTTTTAGTATGGAGGTATGTGAACTTCATATGCATATCACAGTTTGAACAGAATTTTCACTTCAAATTTCAAAGGTAACCATATTTTAAACCAACAGGATTCCTTAACATATAAACCTCTTTATTCCCTTTTGGAACAAACAGTACAGTTATGAACTAATGAGATTTCAAACTACTACATTTGAATTAATGAGGATTTCCTATATGTGACTACTTTAAATCAGTGACTTAACTATACGATGAAGAAAACTAAGTAAACTTAGTCATCCTCAAACATCTTGTAAACAATTGTGTATATAAAAATAAATTCAACAATGATTTATTGGATAGCATAGAAAGTTATAAAATTTTATTGAACATGCTGTTTATAATTGACTTGATTGCACAACATGAAATATTATTCTAATTCATGTTTTGTTATGTCATAATTTTCAAATTCCTTGTCACCTATTGTTGCATTTTTAGCCCTTCCCAACTAAAAAGTGTAATATAATAGATATTTGTAAGTTTTGTTTGCAGACAGAAATACCTGAAATATGCATAATGCATATTTCAGGTATTTTTACATGCATATGTATGGACATATAAAAAAAAGCACACACATCTGTGGAGGGTTTGGAGATAGAAAGAAAGCATAGGAATAGGTCACAGAGTAATTTTGGGGGGCTATATCTCGCAAAGGGTCACATGTAGAATTATAGATCCTTTGACTTTTCTGCTTGTATGTGTATGCTCTATAGCTCTGTTAAGATCCTAAAAGTCTCATTCAGAGCTTGAATTGAGCCCAAAGGTAAAAATATAGTATTCCCGCATTATGCGTTTTTTCTTAATTTTGCTTTCTTTAGTAGACTTGTCCTAAACAGATAGAAATCTTACCCGTATTTGATAGATATTTTGTTTAATTCTTGCGAAATAGTTAAGTGTTTCTTTATATGCCCGCTATTATTCTTTTTGTGATTATACATGAAGACATTAAAATATCTTAAAATCTAAAACTACTTTGATCATTTCGTGAATTATATTTTTACCTTATTCTTACATTCTACTTAAATCGAAAACATTAATTTGCTAATATCATTTGCTATCGTTATGTTTTAAAATATATATAATTCATCTACACTTCACTTTTATAATTAAATACAAATAAAACTTACTTTTAATTAATACTACTAAATCGTCTGTAGATTCTTCTACTTGTTTCTTCTTTCTCTTATTACGTTTTTGTTTTGTTTTAGAAACTTTCTTATCTTGTTTTACCTAAAATATCAATATTATATCATATTTCAACAAAATTATACACACACTTTTTCTATAATACTATAAAATGAAAACATTTCACATACCTTAAATAAATCATCATCTTTTACTTTGTTCACTTTCTTATGTGATTTAATTCCACCCCTAGGGAAGGCTGTTTCCATATTTTCTAATAATTTATTATGTATTTTTAAGAACATTGCACAAACTCTCAAAAAAATAATATATTTAAATAATTTAACCATTTCTTAACCTGATTATAATGTCATCAGATGTAACAATAACCCTAATATTATGTCAAATTTTTATTTGTCCCACAATTTTACTGAACTAGACAATGTTAAAAAAACCCACTTGTAATGACATAAAACTNTTTACGTTCATTTTATTTTAAATACATTTCAAATGTTTAAGTTTCAAAATTTATTACAGGTATTTATTACAAAAAATATCGCGTGTTAATTTTTTTTCCTTCGACTTTGAATTTCGGCGGTCGGTCGACAGGAAGCAGTTGGAAATGTGTCCCCAAGCCTACAACAAAATAATATAATTGTTCTTAGAGCGGATAAAGCAGAATAACTTCTTTTAGTTCCTAATGAATGGGAAAGAAACAAGCGGTTGAAATTGGTCAAAAATGAAGATTTTATAGAACTAAAAGAGGATCCTACAAATGAAATAATAACAAATATAAATAAAGAAATTATAAAAATCATTAGGAAAAGTGGATAGATGCGAAATAGAAGCGATTTATATTGGATCCATCAGAGAGTACAACGCCTATTTTAAATTTAATATATTTTATGTTTTACGTGAAATGCTGAATTATTGTTTGGATGAGTGCATTTCAATAGGAAAGTTTGTTAATTCTCACAATTTCATCATATTTATATTTTGTCATTTTGCAAATCATTTTTTCCACGCCATATCATTTTCACATGTAAAAAATATTATTTATATTACTCGTTAATAACTTCAAAATTTTACATATTCTATATTATATTATATATTAAAAATTTTATGTAACATATTCCAGTATAAATAAAATGATTTAATAATTTCATTTAATAAAAAACAAAATATATCATTTATCCTAATTCTTCTTTTTAACTTTAAGATGGCGCTATCGATCACATGATGAATAANAATGAAATAATAACAAATATAAATAAAGAAATTATAAAAATCATTAGGAAAAGTGGATAGATGCGAAATAGAAGCGATTTATATTGGATCCATCAGAGAGTACAACGCCTATTTTAAATTTAATATATTTTATGTTTTACGTGAAATGCTGAATTATTGTTTGGATGAGTGCATTTCAATAGGAAAGTTTGTTAATTCTCACAATTTCATCATATTTATATTTTGTCATTTTGCAAATCATTTTTTCCACGCCATATCATTTTCACATGTAAAAAATATTATTTATATTACTCGTTAATAACTTCAAAATTTTACATATTCTATATTATATTATATATTAAAAATTTTATGTAACATATTCCAGTATAAATAAAATGATTTAATAATTTCATTTAATAAAAAACAAAATATATCATTTATCCTAATTCTTCTTTTTAACTTTAAGATGGCGCTATCGATCACATGATGAATAAAATGTAGTAATAAATCATATGATTTCTTAAAAAATATTTTTCAAAAGGTAATAAAACAAATATGTAAATGTTATGAAAGTTAATTATGATATCGTAATTTAAAAATTTAAAAAAATGTGCTGAAGCAGTACCAAATTAATTCTTTTTAACAAGTTACTAACGCCACCAAGCGACCAGTATTTATACCATTTCTTAGTGCGTGAGGCATGTGAGTGTGACTTTATTGCAGAAAAGGTTACCGACGTGATATAAACATGGGTTGGAAAGGCGGTGTTACGGATCCGATAAATGTAAAAATTGCAGCTAAAGAACATACTTTAGCGGTAACTAGAGATTATATATCACAACCTAGATTAAGTAAGTCAAGCTTTATGTAAATCTTATTTTATTTATAAATATTACACACGTAGTGAAATGACTTGGTTTCAATTGCAATTTAAATAGCATAATCACGTGTATAATTACATATACACAGATATGTACTGTACGATTGCATTCAGTTATAATAGTCTAAAAAGGATAGCTTTTTGAAATATTTCATGCTATTATGTCTTTGTATATTTTCTATTACAAATAAATCAAAGTTCATAATTTTATCAATATGTGATCAGATATTTTTTGATCATAGAAAAATACAATAAGTTTCTGGATGAAATTTAATTTAAAAATATTTTAATTTCATTCAGATATTTTTAAAAATAATTGTGTGAAAATTTCTAAAATGTAACATAAAAGTTACTGAGTGAGAATATTCATATTCATTAGTAACATGATTATGTGCCCTACTTTTGAAATAAAGTAAGAAAAAAAATTTTTTAAATTGCATATTTGTGCGAGAGGTTATATGGAATTATACATATAAACATTTATTTTCATTAATTATCAAATTTTAGCATTCATTATTTAATTACATATTAAGATTTTCAGAAACTCTTCTTCAAAATTAAATTTATAATTAATAACTGAATAGTTTTGTTTTTGATTATATCATTAATAATTTTCAAGTATATCTTTATATTTAATACAAATGTAGTACACTATTAAAAATATCAAATTTTTATTTTAAAATTTCTGTTAAATTTTAATATGAAAATTTATTATTATTCACTTTTAGTGTTTAAAATTATTGTTTTGTATTCAAAACAAAAAAAAATTCTGAATATTTTAGTATATTTCTACATAAAAGTTTACATGTTAAATGTTTTGATTATTTAATATACATTTTACTTAATGTAGATGTTTTAAACATTTTCTAAGTTATCATGATATGTAAAAGTGTCAGTAATGTAGATGTTGAATATTATATTTCTAATTTTTTTCATAACTTGTTTTTTCTTTTATGTAAAAAAGAAAATTGCGTTTAACAAGTAATTAATTTGTATCGAATAATAATTCTTTTAATATTTATTAAAACTGTGAATATTACATATATATATATATATATATATAAATNTGGGGGGAGTGAGTAATTAAGGGTTGTGTGGCACTCGAACAAAAGACGAATCAACAAGATTTGAAAATCGTGTAACTCCAGGTTCACATAAGTCGGGGTATTACTGTACGTGAGCCGTTCACAGCCCGGCACATATATTTGTAAAATTTAAGTGACTCGTACAACATGGAATTTATATAAAATGGAATTATCAACAGTGTTATAGGGGTCAACTGTATTTATTGTTAGATTATATATATATTTTTAAGAATTTAAAAAATTATTCTATAATATTTTGGATATGATAGCTTACAATGTGTAACTGACTACAAAAAAAATCAGTCCTTTTTTTAAAGTGGTTTCATTAGAAAAAAATTACTAATTATATGCCTTATCTTTCAAAATAACTTCTCTCTGCTTCTACATACCAATTCATACAATGTTCCTATTGTTGGAAACGTTTTTGAATGGTTTTTTTTAATTTGTTAAAAGCTCTTCAGTTTTCTTATTTATCACTCAACATATTGGCTTCTTTGAATCAACTTTTTATTTTAGAGAATAGATAATTTCATGATGATAAATTCAGCAAATAAGGCATTGTTGAAATGTAGTTATTTGCCCATTATAAAATCTGTATTTAATTCGTGCACAGACACGATTCGACCTGTCGCTTTGCTACAGCGGAGTCAGAGATATGCATCTAAATTTGTTAGTAATAAATCAGGTATAGAGTCTAGCACAGGGGTGTCCATCCTTTTCCAGTAATGCCCAACAGGGCAAGAATGAACCTTCCCCAATAGCAAACCCTGAATTAAAAATTTTATGTTCAATATGAAATTAAACATCAAAAACTTTAATACATTGTTTGATCAAAAATGTTGTTTTTCAATTTGTAATCTTAAACTATGGCAATGGTTATTACTTATATGTTGTAGGATAGAATTTTTATTAACAGTAGATAATTAGATAGTCAGCATTCACTTTAGCTTTTATACTTCAGTGTAAAAGAAGTATAAAAGCTAAAGAGATAATGTATATAATAAGTATAAGATGATTATTTTGTATAAAAGAGAAGTAATAAAAGAGAAGTAATAAAAGAGAAGTATAAAAGAGAAGTATAAAAGAGAAGTATAAAAGAGAAGTATAAAAGAGAAGTATAAAAGAGAAGTATAAAAGAGAGTAGAAAAGAGAAGTATAAAAGCTAAAGTGATAATGTATATAATAAGTATAAGATGATTATTTTGTACAGTTGACCCCCCATAACACTGTTGATAATTCCGTTTTATGTGAATTCCATGTTGTACAAGTCACTTAGATTTTACAAATACAGTAATACCCTGAACTTACGCGATAGGTGGGACCGAGCGGTAATCGTGTAAGTCGAATTCACGTAAGTCAGGGTATAATTTCGCATATAAATACATACAAATAATTTTTAATTGGGGCCGGAGACTAAAGAAAACAATAATTTAGAAAAAAATGTTTAATAAAATCTTAGATAATACATATGTATAACAAATTAGGCCTATATTATTTTACAATTTTTCACATTTACTTGATTATTACGCCATAATTTTAACATTGTTTCCATCTCAGCAATAATACTGTGACTTTACGAATGATGCTTGAATTTAAAGATTGAGCATTTTTCACAGCTTCGAGAATTTTTTCTTTGCCTTTTATAATTGTTCTGACCGACAATTCTGGTAGATCAAACTTCTTTGCCAATTCACAAATTTTCATTTTTGTATCGAAGTCTTTAATAATGGGTAAGTTCGTAAAGTCAAACGAGTTAAACGCGTTAGTAACGAATTGTTCGAAAAGTCTAACGAAATAGGAATAACAATGACTTCATTCT